GAAGTCAACTTGTATAATAGTTTGATTTCCTCTTATAAAATAAGGACCTATATTGTCTTATAAATGTCAGTAACCAACTATATAACTCAACAACTCTATCTACAAAATTATCTCTTTTTTTTCCAAAAATTATCTTTTTTAGAGCAGTAACTTTCAAATTTTCTTCCCCATAACACAAGTGGAAAATCTACTGCACATCAAAAACAAACATATGGGCTTGGAGTGGTAGCTCAGTGGAAGAGCACTAACCTAGCACATGTGAGGCACTGGGTTCAATCCTCAGCACCACATAAAAATAAATAATCAGCATACTACAGTGACACAGTCATATCAATGTTTATAGCAGCTCAATTCACAACAGGCAGACTATGGAACCAACCTAGATACCCTTCAACAGATGAATAGTTAAAGAAAATGTGGTATATATACACAATGGAATATTACTCAGCCTTAAAGAAGAATGAAACTATGGCATTTGCCACTAAATGGATGGAGCTGGAGAATATTATGCTAAGCGAAATAAACCAATTCCAAACAACAAAGGCTGAATATTTTTTCTGATATGCAGATGATAATTCACAATAAGCGGGGGGCTAGGGTAAAATAGAGATACTTTGGATTAGGCAGAGAAAAGTGAAGGGAGGGGAAGGGGTTTGGGGGTAGTAAGGATAGTAGAATAAATTGGACATTATTACCCTTTAAGGTAATAATTACTTCTTTAAGGCTGAGTAATATTCCATTGTGTATATATACCACATTTTCTTTATCCACTCATCTGTTGAAGGGCATGTAGGTTGGTTCCATAGTACATATATGAATACTTGAGTGGTGTGATTCTACATCATATACAACCCGGAGAATGAGAAGTTATACTCCAGTTATGTATGTTGTATCAAGATGCATTCTACTGTCATGTATAATTAATTAGAACAAATAAAAAGGTAAATAAATAAAATGAAGGTATTGTGTACATCTACAACTAAAAAAATTCTAAAAACAAGCATACATAATAAAATTATGTGATCTTTAATAACTCCTAATCTATTTGATGTCATATTATTTAAAAATACTAGTCATACCCTTTTTTTTCATTTTTTTAAAATATTTATTCTTAAGTTTTAGGTGGACACAATGTCTTTATTTTACATTTATGTGGTGCTGAGGATCAAACCCAGTGCCTCATGCATGCTAGGTGAGCACTCTACCACTGAGCCACAACCCCAGCCTCAAGTCATACCCTTTAAATAGACATATAAGCCAATTATGGCTTGAAAAAGTCAGTTTGTATTTAAAAATACTCTAAATGCTACAAAGGAGCTAGGGATATAACTCAGTTGGTAGAGTGCTTGCCTCGCATGTACACGGCCCTGGGTTCAATCCCTAGCGCGTGAGCACACACCCACAAAGTCTAAATGCTATAAAAGAAGTTATTAATTAAAATTATTTATAAAAGTCTACATACTATAGATTTCAATTGTAAGGAAAAGCCAAAACTGTGCAGACAGTTATATGGCTGTCACAGGCTAGGAGAGAAGGGAGGGATAAATGGGCAGAGCATAGAGGATTTTTAGGGAAGTATCACTACTGTAATACTATACTATATACTATAATACTATAATGGTGGATACATGTCATTATACATTTGTTCAAACTCAAAAGAATGTACATCTGGTGGGAACATTGATGTGAACTATGAACTTTGGTGATACTGGTGGATCAATGTAGGTTCCTCAATTACAACAAATGAATGACTATGATATAGAATATTGATAATAGGGGAGGTTGTGTGCCTTGGGGCAAGGTGTACATGGATGCTCTCTATACTTTCTGCTTACGTTTTCTGTGAATCTAAAACTGCAATAGAACATAAAGTTTACTACCTTTTTTTAAGCTATTTATGTAAGCATGCATAAATGTTTACCCATGAGTTCCTTTTTGGATTATTCAGATTTTGAAATCTGATATAATGTTAACATTATTGCTAATGCCTTGTACTTGCTTTATGCTTCAGCAAGTTTATATTCATTGCCTTATTTGGGCCTCAGAATAATTCTGAGCAAGTAATGGTAGAGAAAACCAAGTGATGCTATAAAGCCTGCTCCTGGTTACATGGTGACTTAGAAACTGATGTAGAACTAGATTCTAGGACTTCTACCTTGAGTTCCAAATCACAGTCAAGACTCTTAAAACATTCCATAACCACACTGGCTGTTAACCTTTTTGATTGTGGAAAGGTATCCCTATCTCATGTAACTCTATATCATGTACAACCAGATCAATGAGAAGTTATACCCTATTTATGTATGATGTATCAAAATGCATTCTACTGTCATATATAACTAATTAGTACAATAAAAATATATTTAAAAAGGTATCCCTACTCCAAAGGGCCCTATTGATATGTCATAGTTAGTCAGGACACACACAAAAAAATTTAAAAGTATGACAGGATATTCCATATGCATCATGCTGGATGACCTTCCTATCATATCACTCTCTTGCCTGTATATGCTTTGTCATCAACCAACTATACAAGAAAGCACTGTAACCACAGGCAAAAGACATGCTAATTTGTGAGTAGTGTAAAAGTTAAATAGTGTCATTCTGCACAGTCTAAGTAATCACTGTACACTGTATAGATATTATAATCCCAGGGATTAGATTACTCTACTAATGGACAATAATAGAAGAACATACTCCCTAAGGCAAAATAGGAACACCCTCATTCATATGCTACATGATTAAGAGATTACTACCATCCTTATGAAATCCTGCTTCCTCTTAGAAGCGAAAGAATTTTAGGAGAAAAGCTATAGGATTCGATCAAAACAGACTGATATTAGAGGCTGAAACCACTGTGATAGTAAGGCATACTGCAATTTTAAAATTAAGAGTATTTTATAGATGTCTGCCAAATCAAGTTCAATCCAGTGGCACTAATATTGCTTTGTCTCATCTTCAAAATCATTTCAAAATATACCTGCCCAAAGTAAGGGAATATTAAAAAAAAAAAAAAAGAATTCAAGATGAAAATACCATTTGACCTATAAATTCCGTTGCTTAGATAATTTAGCCTACCCATATATTTGTATTCTATAAATACACTGCATATACATTTACTTAAGTAGATAAATGCATAAAATATGCCCAACTATTTGCAAACATATAACACCAGAAACAATTTAATGCACATCAACTAGGATTGGTTAAATAAATTAGGCAATTTAGGTATGTCCCCAACAACCATTAAAAGGAATGTATCTCAATCCTAATATGTTTTCTAGTTTATAACTATCTTGTGGTTTTTTTTATAGTAATCAATTGATGGTAATCAATATACCAATATATTGTATATTCATTTTATTAAAACCAAAAACATAACAAAAAAATACAACACCAAAAATCTCTTAAGCCTTACCTCCAGAAATTCTAATTAAGTCTGAGTTAAGACAAGAATCCCCAGATTTTTACCCCTGATTAAGAACCATTTGTTTAACATAAAGTTTTCAGTACTAAACCATTAATTTAATGTAACAGCTTTTCATTTTCCTTTTTTTTTTCCTTTTGCCCTCATTTTCCCTTTTCTTAAACTTATTTTCATTCTTAGTTTGGGAAAGAGAGGAAGACAGAATCATTGCTAACTACACATCTGGAAACAAGCATTTACTAAAGAATCGTGATTCTTGAAGGACCTAAGAACAAGCACAGCTTATCAAAAACAACAATCTAGTACAACGTCAACAAACCATGATTGCCCACCAAATCCAGCTGCCAAGAAAAAGGATTTCATGTTTTTTAAATGGTTGAGAAAAAATGACAAGATTCTGTGACACATGAAAATTACACAAATTTAAGTGCTGGGGTGTAAACTCAAGTGTGAGAGCGCTTGCCTGGCATATGTGAGGTCCTGGGTTTGAGCCCCAGCCTGAGAGACAGAGAGAGAAAGAGAGAGAGAGACAGACAGACACAAGATAGAGAGAGAGAAAAAAAATATATAAATAAATTTTAAAAGAATTTGAGGGGCTGGGGTTGTGGCTCAGTGGGTGAGGCACTGGGTTTGATACTCAGCACCACATAAAAATAAATAATACAAAGACATTGTGACCACCTACAACTAAAAAAATTTAAAAAAGAATTTGAATATCAGAGTTCATCAAAAACATCTCATTATAAATGCCATATTTATTTGCTTAAATATTGTCTGTGGCTGCTCTCACAATATAATGGCAGAATAGCTGTGACAGTACCATATGGCCCACAAAGTCTAAAATATTTACCATGGGGCCCTTTAAAGAAAAAGATGTTTGCCAAAACCTGGTCTAGTATAGTAGTGTAATGACCCACTGTGAGCCAACCCAACATTACAAAATTTTAAGTCTTCAGTATGCCTTAAAAATTTTTTTAAAAATCATTAGGGGCTGGGGATGTGGCTCAAGCGGTAGCACTCTCGCCTGGCATGCATGCGGCCCGGGTTCGATCCTCAGCACCACATACAAAGAAAGATGTTGTGTCTGCCAAAAACTGAAAAATATTAAAAATTTTTAAAAAATCTTTAAGCAGTAAATATGGCTTTAAAAAGCACAAACAAGGGCTCAGGTTGTGGCTCATGGCAGAATGCTTGCCTTGCACATGTGAGGCACTGGGTTCGATTCAGCAGCACATAAAAATGTATAAACAAAATAAAAATACTGTGTCCATATATAACTTAAAAAAAGCATAAACGAACACATTCATTGAACAAGTTAAGTTACCCTTGACTTCTACTATTCTAATAAATTTGCTGCTATATTAAAGACATGTTACTCACAGCCTCTGAGTTATCAATAAATGGATCTGTCTCATCATAGCCAAAGCCTATGTCAATTAAATCTTGTAGCCGATCCTTCCGGTGCTTACGGGGTTTCCCACCCTGCAAAAAACAGACACATTAGACTGATTCAGTACTCATGCTGTTTCCATAAAGTTTAAAAAGACCTATTCAAAGAATTCAAATAATTTTTGTAAATAAATCCCTGCAGATGGTTAAGTCTTCCCATACCTTTATATAAGCAGCTGTGCTTAGTGACTTGCTTTCACAGCTCAGAGTGAGAAAAGAGGAACAAAGTAACTTTACAATGGAAAACCTGCCCAACTTTACATCAGCCAGATGACAACAGGAACAATGATAAGTGGATGGCACATATCCCTGATATATGATAAAAACTGCACTTCCCTTCTGTGGGTCTTCCTCTCAACTGCCTATAAAACTAGCCCAGCCATGAGAAAAACATCAAACAGACCAAATTGATAGTCTATAAAATAAGTTCTCCAAAGCTGTTAAGATTATCAAAAAAAAAAGGAAAAATCTGAAAAACTATCATAGTCCATACCAGCCTAAAGACACTAAGACTAAATGAGCTGTGCTATCATGGATAGGATCTAGGAACTGAAAAAGTACATTAGGGAAAACTAGTAAAATCCAAATAAAGTTTAGAGTTTAATGGTACTATATCAATGTCGATTCCTTCATTATAACAAACATACTACATGAATGTAAAATATTCATGTTAGTGGGTGAGGACTATATGAAAACTCTTTGTATTATCTTGTTTAACTTTTACTTTTTTGGAACTTGGAATTAAACCTAGGGAAACTGAGCGACATCTCCAGCCCTTTTTATTTTTTATTTTGAGACAATGTCTCACCAAGTTGCAGAGACTGGACTACAGGTTGAGATCCTCCTGCTTCAGTCTCCCAGATTGCTGGGATTATGAAAGTATGCATAATCTGCTATGCCCAGTTCTAAATTATAGCTTTTCCGTAATTTAAAAACTATTCTTAAAATTATTTTTTAAATGTCATATAATCATACACATAAACACAAGAAAATGATAAATGAGTGCCTACAAAAACTGATGAAATGAGCTGGGCATGGAGGTTTATGCCGGTAATCCCAGTGGCTCAGGAGACTGAGGCAAGAGGATCACAAATTCAAAGCCAGCCTCAGCAACTTAGCAAGACTCTGTCTTAAAATAAGAGTTAGGGATGTGGCCCAGTGGTAAAGTACCACTGGTACCAAAAACAAAACAAAACAACAACAAAAAAACCACATGGTATCAAAAACTAGTGAATCAGAATAATGTCTGTGGTCTGGTTAGTTGTATTGTGCCATGTTTATTTCCTAGTTTTGTAACTGCAGTTATATAAAATTTTACCACTGGCAGAAGTTGGGTGGTAGGCATATGGTCTTTTTTACTATAGTTGCAACTTCTTATTAGTCCATAATCCTTTTTTAAATAATCATTTTTAAAAACTAACACAATGTCAAAACAAACTAGTTCCTGTAGATTCCACTATTCAGATGATACTTTATGGAGCCTTTTGACTAATCACAGTATAAAGAAAAACTCACTTATGTTTGTGTGCACACATATACACATACACATTTTTTTGTTAAAATAAATGAGTTAGGAATGTGGTTCAGTGGTAAATCTACCATAGCTCAATGACAGATGGGCCAGAACCATTAAAAAAAAAAAAAAGTGTGTGTGTGTGTGTATATATATGCGTGTGTGTCTGTGTATGTGTGCACACAAACATTCTTGCTTAGCCTGTAAGTTTATTTTGGATTTTTAAATTTTAATTTTTACTCACTCATATTCAATTACTCATTCTAAGCATCCTTCTAATGTCTCCCTACCCCATTTTTTTCAGACTGGGTCAGGGGTAAAGAAGAGGCTCAGAAAGGTGAGGTAAGGGGTAGGAAGATAGAAGATAGCACTCAGGATTTTGCCTACCAAAATGCTACCACTGAGCCACAGCAGGCCTTGTGGAAAGCAAGAGATTTAAGATGTGAACTTCTAGAGTCGGGGTTGTGGCTCAGTGGTACAGCACTTGCCTAGCAAGCATGAGGCACTGGGTTTGATCCCCGGCATCAAATAAAAAACAAATAAATAAATAAAATAAAATAAAGGTATTGTGTCCATCTACAACTAAAAAAGTATTTAAAAAGAAAGATGTGAACTTCTATGACCTCTTTTCATTTCAGTCCTCACAGTGAATACGTGATTCTAAAAGTTAAAGAGGGACACTTTTATGCCACATGGCCCTTAAATAAAAGTTGTTTGCTTCCATGTAAAGAAATTGTGATCTGTTCCAGTGCTTGAGAGGAAAAATGGTGATACTAGACTTACTGAGAGATATCACCAACAGAGTGTGATCCCTTTCTACGTGATTTGCAAAGATAATTCTGAACAAATGCTATGTTTGCATTCCACATAGTTGTTGAAAACCTTACCCCAACATGAGCTATGGCTCCACGGTTTGCTTCTAAGTGGACAAAATACTACTACACTACCATCACTACCAAGAAATCCCTATGGTGTGAGGTGAAGTGGTGGATTCCTTATTTATTATTATTTTAATGACAGGTTCTCACTAAGTTGCCCAGGCTGGCCTTGAACTCATTATCTCAAGCAATCCTCTAGACTAGCCTCTTCAGTAGCTAGGATTACAGGTGCATACACTTTGGTTCCCATATTTTAAAATTTTACAATTTAGGTAAGTTTCAAAAGCAATTCTGGGGCTAACACAGGGTGGCAAACTTGTTATTATGCTAAATAAAGCCACTGAAAACATAATTTCAGAACAACAATCTTTCTCAAGGAATAATAATCATACATATATGCACATGTATTAATTAAGCATATATACAGAACATGCTTAACTACACAATACACACACTAAATTGTCCCTATTTTTCTCATTTTGCCAGATCCGCACACTGGGACTTTTACACCAGGTTATAGAATTACAGTAAGAATCAGATGTCGGGGACAGAAAGAGTTATTTCTCGGACAGGAGTTATTCTACTGAGGAGAAATTACACATCAAGCAGAGGAATATATAGGACTTTTATCCTCATAGAGGGAATTTCATCCTCATAGTAGGGGCTTGCAGAGGGAGAGAAAGACCTAGAATGTATATAAAAACAGACAAAACTAATGAAGAAGTCTAGGCCTCACATATTAAGTATATTCAAGTTATAGGAGATAAAATAGTTATGGTAGGAATTTAAGAATAAATATCTGAGTGGACAGCATTGTGCAGAAATGGAAAAAAAGCAGCATTAAATTCAGTTAGGGAAATGATTTATAAATCAAATAAATAGAATTGAAGTAAGATAACAATTTTACCTATCAAATTATAAATTTATACAGATGAGGGCTGCTTAAGAACTGCTAAAAATATACCAATTTAATATCTTTAGAAAACAATCTGAAAGCCTCTGACAAAACTTTATAAAACTCTTCTATTTTCTTCTTTTGCTTCTTCTGTTTTCTAATTTTTCTATAAAGCATTACTTCATAATGAAGTATGCTAAAACAATTTTTTAAAACCCTTTATCCTATGTGATCCAATAATTCTACTAAATTATATAGTTTATTTCAAATCACTACTTAGATTTAGAAGTATCTGTTAAGGGTTGAGACAGCAGCTCAGTGGTAGAGTACATGCTAAGCCCATTTGTGAGGCCCTGAGTATAATCTCCAGCACCAAAAAATAACAAAAAAAATCTGATAAGACTTATACTACAGAAAATAATATGTTAAAATATCAGAAAGTTTTTCCAGGGGCTGGGGTTGTAGCTCAGTGGTAGAGCACTTGCCTATCACATGTGAGGCAATGGGTTCGAACCTCAGTACCACATGAAAGCAAATAAAGGTATTGTGTCCATCTACAACTTAAAAAAAAAGAAAAAAACCAAAGAAAGAAAGAAAAGAAAGTTTTTTTCAGTGAAAAGTTCTTGTCTTCAAGAATCTTAAAACAAGATAATTATTCAGCAAATTAAATTTTCTAAGCCTCACACTGGCCTTATGGATTTTATAGTATTGTGAAGAGGGGAAAGATTAAACAAATAACTATAGCAGTGATAGACAGCAGAACGGAAAGATGCAGGTTGTATGGAGACCTTTTTTTTTTTAGTTTTAAGTGGACACAATATCTTTATTTTACATTTATGTAGTGCTGAGGATCAAACTCAGTGCCTCAAGCATGCTAGACGAGCTCTCTACCACTGAGCCACAACCCCCAGCCCTTGTATGGAGACCTTTCTAACAGAGTCTCTGGTCAAAGCTTAACTTACTCATTTATGAACAAACAAGGCAAATGAAATGAAGCACCAAAGGGATTAGAACAGGGACATAACCCCCCAAAATTAGAGAATGAACACAAGATAAAACAGAAAGGGAAAAATGGAGATTTGAAAGTCACAGGTTACTAAAGGCATAAAGTATATACTTACATTTCAATCATGATGTTGATGGTGCTGATGACAACACTTACCGAGTATTAACTTTGTATTAGATCCCATGTAAGTACTATTATTTTTTAATTTCATGTTCAGCAAATGGGAAAAACAAAAGCTGACTAAGGACAAGCAACTTGTCTAAGGTCACAAAGAAGTGGTGAGCTAATCTTCAAACTCATAGATGTCTAGAAAAATTCTGTAAGAAAAGTTATAAAGACTAAGGGGTCCTATTTTAGATGGACCACACCTTAATCTCAATACACCAAAACTGAAATCAGCGTTTGCACTGATGTTTGCCTCCATATTAATTCCTCTCCCTTGGCATTCCCATCCATTTTGTTTATTCTTACCATTTTTCTGCCTTCAAACTTCATACTGGCTAAAATTAAAGTGACAATAACAATTGTAAACAAGGATGTAGAACAATTTGACATCTTGTACATCACTAATGGGAATACAAGTGATATAGCCATTTTGGAAAACGGTTTGATAGTTTCTTATAAAGTCAATCATATAGTTATACCTTGTGTCCTAACAATCCCACTCTTACATAAATATACACAAGAGAAATGAAAACTATATGCATACAACTATAACCCTAATGTTTAAGACACCTTTAT